ATAGACTATGCACCATGAAGGCTGGCTGGAGAAATCTGAAAACCATGTACACAAATTCCAAAAAACCATATTTAAACTAGAGCAGTGATTCATTTTCAGGATTCAGTTTCATAGAGAATAACATTACTTTCTGACCTGACAAGACGCTGATCAAATACTAGATGCTTAAAATACAGAAGCAGTTTTCCAACTAAGTTGATCTACCTGCCAAAAGAGAATCCTTTGAATTTGAATACTTGTAGTAATCCCTTCTGGCCACATTGGAATCAGAATATAAGCTGAAAACCTCTCATTTGCTCTGATTTTGTTGGCAATTTTAAGAGCAATTTCCATTGGTATCAAATTGTTTGCACCTGCACATGATAAGGAATGCTTATAACTACAAGTTCAAAGCCATCCCTTGACAAGGAGTAAGTACGTACAGGGAAGAAAAGTCAGATCACTGTGGTAAATCTGTTCTGGTAATCAAAGTTACAATTTTTTTCATCTATGACCTACTGGACTCAACATTATACCAGTACCAATCATGCACTAAAACAGACCCAGTTGCAGAGAAGTGTTACAAGTGCAACCAAGAAAAAACCACATAGCTAGCAAAGCAAAGCTTAAGAAAATGACCATATTCTTGCCGGTTGCATTAAATAAAATCCTAAAATCAAGACATATCATGGAAAAAGTTAACTAAAATATGACATCACTGGATGAAATAAAGCATAAACAGGAAATTTTTTTTAAAAAAAAATAATGATGTGGAAACACTTGACTTACTGTTTTTTCATTCTGTAATTGTCAAATTTCAAACTTGATCCTTCAAATTTAAATTTTAATCAGATGCAATTATCTTATCACCATTAATTTGTTCTTGACTTCAAAGGTTGAGTTCCTCACCTAAATCTTTGTGAGAATCCCAATTATATGATGACCCAAGAAAGTATTGGTTCTCTATGTAGATGAATCGTTGGGCAGAACGGATTGCATGTACATAAGCAGTGTGTACGCTCATGTCTATGAGTATATTCTTTCCACAGACCAAGTTCTATAAGCATAAAAGTTGGTTGACTTCAATATATTTGTTTGAAATATGATAGGAACAGAAGGTAAAAGGAGAAGTTTTTCTCTCACCATCTTTGTAGCTTCTCTTGGATCATTTGGAAAGCCACTTACAGAATTCGAATCAATTGAGCGAAAAACCTTCAGTCGTTGGGAATTCAGCAAAGGGAGAAAATAAAGGTTAAAAAATTCATGTTAAGCCGATGAAGGAAAAAAGAAGTACTTGAAGACCAGTAGCCCACTGAGTTCCAACATACCTGAACATGCCAGGCTTCTGGATCACGTTTGCTGAGGCAAGGAAGTTCCCCTATCCCCATAATTTCAGGAACCCTTTCAATCTTCAGCAAGGTATCATCAAATGAAGTCTTTAATTTTTGAAGCCCATGAGGTTTTGGAGCCTTTAACCATCTGTCCTCAAAATTGGTGAGAATGTCATAAGCAGCTGGACCATCAATTTGACAGTGTAAATCATGCCATGGTTCTCTTGGACAGCCAACACCAGGTTCCTAATTAGTATAACATACAATCAAGTCAAAGACAACATGGAAGAAAACTTGCATGACAATTACAACAAACTTCGGAACTGATTTTTGATTGATCTCCATCTTATTTCAGCTCCATGGAATTGAACATGAAAAGTAGATGAAGATGACTACTGTCAAATCAAAGGTATTGGTAATTTCCTTTACAGACTAAAAATGTTCTACTTCATATATATAAAAAAACTAGCAAATCACTTGTAAAAACATCAATATCATATTATTAAGCTATACTTGGGGATATACTCCATAAATGCAATTGTTGGCATGCATTGCTTGTTATAATTGTCGGATCAAGCAGCTGCTTGGTTCCTTTTAAGAGAGAAGATCCCACATGGACTAATCTACAATATGGCCACTTCACCTATAGCCAATTAATTTAAGGTTGCACAGATCTTATTTCTGTCTTTCATTTCAAGTACAACCGTGCAAGATCATATATATTAGTAAGCATGCTTCTTCCTATATGTTTCCAAGGTGATGCAAAAATCAGATGAATACTCTTAAAATAAAACAGAACAACAAGGAAAACTAAGGAGGATAAATGATTACTGTCAAAGAAGGGTTACGAAAGTCATCTTTGTGCACTGTTTCAAGTGTTCTAAAAAGTGAATGTTTTGGAGTGTCGTATCGCCCCCTGCATAAGTCAAGACCTCCTACAAAGGCAATGATCTTTCTTCTGTAATGACCAGCATCAGCATCAACGATCACTGTTTTTTGATGATGGGTATAAATTGTCCCAGCTTCCTGGAAAAATAAATGTTCCAATGAAAACAAAAATTCTAGTTTAGAACATTGTGCAAGTAATTTATTCCCCTAGACACATGACTCAAAGAAAAAATGGTATTAATTCAGAATATTTAGTATACAAAATATCCATATTATCCATACTTGGACATGTATGGATTTGTATAAAAAAAACTGTAATATTCAGCATGCAGATACCAAGCATAACCAACAAGAAATGACACAAGGCAAGGTATGAGAGTGGAAATGGAAAGGAGACAACATTATCAGATTTTAACAAATTGAGGAAATGAAGGTTCCAGGGTCTTCTAAACCAACACACTGCCCTGGAATCCATCAACCAGACAACTAAATAAGACAGTGCAAAGCTACATACCCCAGAACAAGTTGCTTGTCAAACAGATATGGTTCAAGGGATAATTGACCCTAACCTGCTTTTTTACCCAGCTGCTTTTTCCAGCAGATCTGGGACAAAGTAGCACTTGTACTGAAGAGTGCTTGAAAAAACGGCGAGTCTCCTCATCATTTGTATGCATGATTCCTTCCTGCATAAATAGGAAGTCAAATAGTTTCAAGTGCAAACTGATACATGATCAATTAATACATTAAGCTGTTTTACCAATGAAAACAGTAAGTCGTATAATCAGATTACTGAGTTCAAATTATGATTTGGTCTGTACCCTGTGGAATCATAAAAATAGCATCAGAATATGAAAGAGCTTCTTTAGTTGCTCACCCTTTTCAATCCTAAAATGCTCATGGAAGTAGGATCATCCCATACAAGAAGCAGAACTCGCACACCTTCCTGAGACTTGATTTTTAGAATATCCCCCAACATGCAATCGGTTCCATTGTCAGTCCTAACAAGTTTAATATTGTGGTAAACGGACCACCCAGCAATGTAGATCAAACGACGGGCCTGACTTATAGCATTAAAGATATCTTGCCAACACTTCTCTTGCTGAAACCGAACACCACCATCAAGCTTCAAACTGGGAAGCAATCCATCATGAACGTGTGCATCTTGATAGAGAGTAACTTTGCCACCCCTCCTTAAAGGAAAATATGTCCCAGGGATTCCATCAGGACTTGCACCTATTCCCCTGTGGTAAAGGGTTATTTTCTCAATTGGAGTGTACTGAATTGTTAAACTCAATACAGCTCCAGGATTGCAAGGCTTTCCGCTCGAGTTAAGTATAGGGAAGGTTCCTTCAACTTTTGTACCCGAGCACAACTGCTCAACTGGGATACCTACAGCTCCCATGATCTGTGAGCCCACAACATCGTTGTCTTTAACAACAAAATGCACTTCTGCCGCATAATGTGCAACATGCACATTAAAATGCTGCATCCAGACTGGGTTTTCACTGTTACTAATCACGAACGTCCTCCCAATTACGGCATCAGACACGGCCACAGTAACATAAGGATCGCTGGTTATCTTAGGCATGTGGCCTTCTACTTTTTTGCTAACTCTTACACCAAACGTCCCCAACATGCCATTCAACTTGTTGTGAAACATATCCTTGTTAGGAAGGTTTTTAGCCTCTTTGACCCAAATATCTAGATTACCATGTAAGAGCAATACCTTCAAGGACCCTTTTCCGGCATGAAATGGGACAGCTTGTTGCCCCTGACCATGACCTGAGCCACCACCAAACGACAGGCTTCCTCTGTACGCCATGTAAATATGATATATGCACCCTGCTCTCTATCCGAAGTGAAACAAGCACGAACCTTGATTACCCCACTAACTGAATAAATATCGAAAAGCTCTAAGAGACCAAGACACAACAAAATCTAGAATCAGAGTTTGACCAATATCTAGTTCATTCAAGCAATGACTCAAGAACTTGGTGATCAATTTGACACCAAAAGGAATCTGGGTAGCACTTAAATAGATCTGAAACAAAAGCTAACAAAGTGAAGATTTTGATTGTAAAAAACAAGATGAGAGGAAAGTGGGAAGAAATGAGAATGTCGGTCCGCGTGAAAGAGTTGAATGAGTAATAGAAAGCGCAAGGAAAGGAAAGGGAAGGTGCGATATGAAAAGAAAAATTCAAAGCAGATACATCAGATTATCCAAAGAAGAATAAGAACAAGAGAAAGGATGAAGAAGAGGGGGAAACAGCTCAACAACCCAATTAAAAATGGTCAAACCCATTTCCATTTCACTTTGTGCAGCCCACAACCGAGAACAGGAGAATTTTCCTTAGCCAACCAGAGATCGGACTTGAAAAAGATTTGTGGGGGTTGCGCGTCGTGTCTTCGCTTTGAGTTTGTGATGGTTACATTGTTTAAGAGCAATGCTAGGGGCACTTGCCTCCTGCACTCTCCGGCCAACACTTTCTCTTTTATTGGGCCACGTTATTTTGGTTCCCAGAAGTTCCGCCTGAAAGTTTTAAAGAAGCTTACGTGGCCCAATGCAAGGGGAAGTGTTGGCCGGAGAGTGCAAAAAGCGGGTGCCCCTAGCACTGCTCATTGTTTAATTTTCTCCTGTTTCGTTTACCGGTCAACGGAAAGCCGAACGCAACAAGGCTTTCCTCTTTCGTCTCACTCGGCAGTCGCCCGCCAGGAAATAGACACCATATTGTAGGATGGCTAAAACCAACTTTAGCCCCTCATCATATAAAATTGGTAAGTTTTAGTCTCTAACATTATAATATGACACTTTTAGCTCTTTACCTTATAAAGTTAATAGGTTTTAATCCTCACCTTACAAAATTGATAAGTTTTAATCTCTCATTTTATACTATAAGACTTTTACCCCCTTATATGTATGAATTAAAAAAAATATCTCTCACTTAACATTTGGTTATAATATTCTGTTAATTTTGTTAGCTGACTATTAACATCTGTTAACATTTCATTAATAAAACTAATAAATAAAATTAAATTTAAATTTCATATTTTCTATAACGAAATGTTAACAGATATTAACAATTAATTAACACAATTAACAAAACGTTATAACCTGATGTTAGATTAGAGCTATTTTCTTTGATTCATATAGGTAAAGGGTTAAAAATGTTATAATATAAGGTGAGAGATTAAAATCTATCAATTTTGTAATGTGAGGGGTTAAAACCTACTAATTTTATAAAGTAAAAAATTAAAAATATCATATTATAAGATGAGGGGTTAAATGTTGGTTTTTGCCTTGTAAGATGAAGACAACATTGTGAACGAGAGCCGCTCCAAACTTTAGGCCCAGACAACATTCACGTTTTGTATTTGTCTCCCTATTGCACCTTGGGCCAACAGGATTCTTGGCATGCGGATTGGATTGGGCGATTGGGAGTGGCTTGGCTTCACCAGCAACTGGACTAAATAAATGTCCTAACTTTATTGAATCTATTACCATGTACCACATTGTTTTATCTGATTCTGAAGTAAAATTAAACCAATGTCCAAAGTGCTCTTTGCTAATGGTTTTTGACTTGCAGCAAACAATACTTCTTCGGGACATCCGATAAAATTAGAACGATCATGGCCTGTGGGCAAGAATGACTTATGGCAACAATTTTTGCAAAAACAAAAAATAGATCAAGCAGTATATTCTATAAACATTACCAAAAAAAAAAAAAAAAAAA